GGGACGTTAAACATTGCTTTTGTTTTTACCGGCATATCAGTTTACTATAAAGTACTGGTAATGAAAAAATTAATAATTCAGAGGAGAGTTTCCGTTCAGTATCATGAAGTAAAACTGTATTATGAAGTGTTCATGGTAATTAAAGTCGTCTAGTTCATCATAACTGTTAATTAAATACAAAAATTAATTCTAGTTATTGAAAATTATAATTCTAGAGAATTTCATTAAGCTAATTAATGTTGATTGATAGGGTGTCTGACCAAAATGAAGATTTGAAAGGACATAGGTCTTGCGAAGGGAGAAAAATTCGTTCAAGCACTGTGAGAGCATACTGATGCTGAGGAAGCTGTGGTGGAATGAATGACTTCAGGATGCCTAAGGCTGTCTTCTGTGGTGAGCTGAAGCAAGGCAATAAAGATTGAGGGGCTCCCAAGAGGGGCTTCAAAGATCAGCTGAAGTGACAGCTATCAATGGTTGAAATTAACCACACCCAGTCGGAGCAGATAGCTGAGGACAGGACACTATCAAGGCGCCCACTGGACAGTTTGAAGTAGACAGAAAGCTGGCAGCTGACACCAAGCGCCAGAGAAGAAAGCAGGCCATCGCACAACCCCCTACACTGGACTGAGTCTTCATCTGCCCATGCTGTGCCAGGCCGTACAGATCGTGGATTGGACTTCAGAGCCACTGCAGGGCACATGATCGCAAAAACCAGATATCTTCTCGTTGATCTTCGGATTTAGAGAAACCACCATCATCATCATTTCATAATGATTTTTTTGCAGTGCCTTCTCTCCTGAAGTCTGCTTGGATTGCAATTTTGTTCCATTGGGCGCGATGAGGAACAATAAAATTTGCAAAAGTTTCCGACAAAAATTAAGTCTGTTAAATATATTTCGTGTTTTTTTTTTTTCTTTTATAGATTTTAGAAGAATTTAAAAGGAATCTTGGCGAACTAACGTAAACCGTCAGTGCACTGAGCTACAAGATGTTAACCAATCGATGGGAGGAGGCAAACTAAGCCAAGACACACAAACTGGTCGTTAGCGAGACCGGTCAAAAACGACACGGCTGTTAATCTTCTCACCTTACTGACGCTCCTTAAGAAGAACACACTTTCTCTCTGAAAGCTTGTTGACAGCTAAGTAGGTAAAAAGCTTTGAATGTGTCTTGTGGCCATATCACGAAGACGCCATCATTCGCTCTTGCACTTTGGCGCTTTTTCAGGAATCATGCGTAGAGTTGCAACGTGATGATAGTGACATCTTCGATGACAGACGAGAGAAGACTGGAGAAAGGGTGATATCGCTACTCAGGGGACAGGAGAGAGGGTGTGATCAACCTAATGCAGTTCATTTTCTAACTCGATACCAACTCGAGACATCGTAACTTGCAAAACTTTCCGAACACTTTAAGAGGAACGAGATAGCGAAGAGCGTACGCAAAGAAACAAGACCACACGTCCTAAAACCGATAAACTCAGAAGAATAACATTGCTGTGAAGTTGTAAACCAGATCCAGGAATTGAGTCCTTAGTGGGATTCATCAACGCCCATAATCTGTCGAGAAAAATGGTTCTGTCCTCGTGTACCGGTTCACAAGAGCCAATACAAAAGACCAAGCAATACACAATAGCTAACCGATAACTCTTAAACAAAGAAAGAACAATGGTAATTCCCTTGTGAACCGGTACACCAGGACAGAACCCGAAAAATTATCTTCTGAGGTTGCGTTACTTTTAGCCAATCCATTTTTGGATTTAGACAATCCGGATCGTACAGATGTTCTTCTTAGCTGGAAGGAAAATCTGAGTAATGGGTGGTTCCGTACAGCGCAAAATTCCGAATTACTTTTGAATGTAATTTCACCAAATTGCTATTTTCCAATCTTAATTCCCTGATCAGGTAAAATTGAAAACCTGGAGAGCTGACTCATGTGAAACAAGTGAATAATCCTGTCTTGTATGAGTACGCTACCTTTTGAAGTGCTTCACTAGATAAACCAATCATAAAAGTTTTTTATGTTCTGCCCAACTTAACACAAAGAAAAGAGATCAACATTCAGAGAATAATATATTAATATATTTTCATAGGAAATATCATTTACATTATAAATAGTTGTACAAAAGCACAAAACTTTATCATTCATTGGTATGACTGCTTCAAGGAACAGAACCCCTTTACAGAAAATTCTAGTGGCAAGTGGAGTGAAAGGATCTGCCACATGATGGCACCAGAAGAAAAATTTGCCTTTTTTTCCATTACTAATTAAGAAACATTAGACTAAGAATTCAATACTTTCGACCTAAAAGATGTTTTTATTCAAATCTTGGCCATAAGCTTTTTCACTGACCCTTCCACAAAGATTTGATAGAACCCAGCTTCCACTAAAATTTTCCTACAAATGGCCCATATTTGACTGGTGCATTAAAAAATTCAGCATCAAACTTGGAGACAAACAGCTAAAACAAGTAGAGCAAGTACCTAGAAAAAGGACAGAGAGACTAGTCACAGCAACAATTCCTTTGTATGACAGAAAACTTTTGAGGATCTTCACTCGTATGTCATTACTTCATTGCTGCAAGTTTGTGTAAATTCAAATTTGTTTCAATTTTTGCATTTCTTGCCGCAATAAAATGAGTAACAGCAATTTATTCACACACAAAGCATTTTATCATGAGAAGATATTACAACATCCTACTTACACTGAAGGCTCTGGAAAACAAACTACCAAGTTCATACGGTCTATTCCCCTGGGCCTCATAATGACATCTTTTGTTTTATGCTGAACTTTAAATTTTAAATGTTGGGACATTTGTGAGTTCTTCAGATGATTTCAAACTGGACAGAGTTATAAAATTTATCTACAAGGTGCAAGTAATTATATCAAACCGCAACACATCATTATAAAAGGAAGAGAATACTATAGAAAATTTATTTCAAGTTTGTTTTGTTATAATTATATAAGCTACAGATATATCTAAAAGCTGTAAGCTATATTTCTTGGCTTTTTTGGCAGGCATGAGTATTTTTCT